TGGGATGTAGTTGTTAAGTGCTGTCGAGTCGGTTCCGACTCATAGCGACCCTGCACAGGGTTTCTGAGGCTGTAAATCTTTACGGGAGCAGAAAGCCTCATCTTTCTCCTGCAGAACCGCTGGTAATTTCGAACTGCTGGCATTGCGGCTTGCAACCCGATTCGTAACCACCACTCTACCAGAGCTCCTTGGCTACCTTACTAGACAGCACATATATGGGTCCAGTTAGAAAGTTCTACTACACAGCGTCCAGCCAGTGGAGCTCATGGGTGCTGCAAAACAGTTAATGTGCACGAATGCTAATGGGAAGGTTGGCTGCTCCTGTCCGTGCACAGAGGTGCCTCAGTGCGGCTGAGAAATCAGTCCTTTTTGTGAAACACAGTTCTACTGCGAGTCATCCATCAGAATGCAGTCGATAGCATCTGGCTGTTAATCTAAGAAAACAGACTGAGAGGTCAGATTTGAACAGTGCTTCTGGAAATCTACCTCCTTGAGAACACAAAACACAACACAGCCCAACACAAGATGACAAAAGCAAGCCAGTTTGGAAAATCTCAAGCTACACTGAATGTCAGCGTGTCCTTCAAAGGCACTTGTCCCATAGCTGGGCGTGTCAGGAGGGAACTTCTTGCTTAGCCAAAGCCATAAAGTGATTGTTCAGACTAGTTTTATGCCGTCCAGTCCCCACGCCACACCAATGTCCTGCAATTACTGTGAGGCAATCTAGCTATTACTGTAAATAATTTACAACGAAATGGCTTAGCACTTGGTATTTATTTGCTTTGGAGAAATTGAGTTCTTATAACTCAAACAACTTTCTTGGCCTTTACATTTAACCTCACAGAAGTGAGCAACCCAGGTTAATTGGTTGGCAGTATTTGGGGTCCTGGTGTGGCACTGTAGGATAAACACTGAACTGCCAACTACAAGGTCAGAGGTTTAAACCCACCAGCCACTCCTCGAAAACCCTATACAGGGCTTCTATGAGTTGTAACCAACTCAACGGCATTTTAACAACAGCAACAACAAACAAGATGTGGAGTCCTGGTGTGGTGCTGTAGGGTAAGCACTGGACTGTTAACTGCAAGGGTTAAATGCACCAGCCGCTCCTTGGAAACCCTATACAGGGGCGCTGTGATTCAGGACCCACTCCATGACACTGAAGCCTAAAGGTTGGTTGTTCAAACCCACTCAGAGGTTCTGCAGAAGAAAGTCCTAGTGATCTGCTTCCGTAAAGTCAAGAAAACTCTGTTGGGCAACTCTGCTCTGTCACATGGGGTGGCTGAGTCGAAAAGCGACTTGATGTCACCTAAAAACAACATTAGCTTAAATCTTATGAGACCGCCACGTTCATAGGTCAGAAAACCATCTGACATCAGCAAAGTTTTGGTTTGAACCACAAAGTCAGTGGTTCAAACTCACCAGCTGCTTCTTGGAAACCCTTTACAGGGTCGCTGTGAGTTGGAACCAACTCGACGGCACTTAACAACCACCACCACCAAATACCTCACTAAATCCAAACCCACTGCTGTTGAGATGATCCAGACTCATAGCGAATATAGGATTTCTGAGACAGTAAAGCTTTACAGGAGCAGAAATCCTCATCTTTCATTAGAGAAGTGGCTGGTGGATTTGAACTGCTGATGCCTAATCCACAGGTCTCCTTTCAAGCCAAACAAACCAGGTGAAAATTTTGTAGAATGTAAATAACAGCCTTCTCCCTCAGTTTGATTGCTGGCCAATTCTCTTCATGCACAATTACCACCTGTCTGCCATTGGAGGCTGGCATGTGGCTTTGATTTGAAACAGGTTTCAAAGGACTTTCCAGACTATGTCAGACTAGGAAGAGAGACCTGACAATCTATTTCCAAAACAGCCAATGAAAACCCTATGGTTGAAAACAGTCTGATCCACAGAGGATCATGGGACTAGCACAAGACTAGACAATGTGTTTTGCTCTTTAGTGCATGGGGTCATCATAAGTGGGGCTGGCTGGACTGCAGCCAACTCCTCATTAAGCCGTCAGGGGTCCCTGCCAAAGTAGAGGCTGCTGGGAAGATCAGCAGTTAAAGCTGTTAGTCTCCATGCCTCTAACATAGGTCCTGGGAGGGAGGAAGGTAGGGAAGGAGGGAGGAAAGAGAGAGAGAGAGAAAGAAAGAAAACTCTTTGCTCTGGAGAAGGGATATCAGGAGATAAATGAACACCCTAACCCTCTTCGTTACTATTCCTGTGTTTGTTGTTGTTGTTATGTGCCGTGGAGTCGGTTCTGACTCATAGTGACCCTGTACAGGGTTTCCGAGGCTGTAAATCTTTATGGGAGCAGAACGCCTCATCTTTCTCCCGCAGAACAGCTGGTAGCTTTGAACTGCTGACCCTGAGGTTCACAGCCCGATTCATAACCACTATGCTACCAGAGCTCCTATTCCTGTGTTTACCATGTGCCATTTTAAGTGTTTTATAGGCAGCCATCTTATTTCATCTTTACAACAACCCTATGCATAAACACTTTGATAGATGGGAAAAGGAACTCTGATGGTGTGATGGTTAAGTGCTTGGCTGATAACTGGAGTCAATGGTTCAAATCCACCAGTCTCTCTCAGGGACAAAGATGTGGCAGTTTGCTTCTGAAAAGATTTATGGCCTCCAAAACCCTATGGAGTAGGATAGAGTCCTACTGTGTCCTACAGGGTCACCATGAGTCAGAATTGACTCAACAAGGCACAACAACATAGATGAAACGAGTACAGAGAGATTAAGCAATATGCACCAAGTCACACAGCTAGGAAGTTACAGAAGTTGAGGCTCAGAAGTTCCAGAATCCCTGCTCTGAACCTCTGCAGGAATGCCTGGATATGGGTCCAGGACAGACTATCAGGATGAGAGAGGCAGAGCCGAGTTTGGAGTAGCTTTAGAGGAGGAGGGTCTGCCGGTGACTGGAGCAGAGCTGAGGTTCCAGACCCACTTTGTGCAGAGTCAAGGGGCTCAGGGAAGCCCTTTGGGCTCCATGAGGAAGGATAGTTGGTACCCAGAAGTTCTCCTGGGATGAAGTGGGTGAAGGGTGCAGAGGAGGTAAGGTGGGTAGGGGACAGAGGGTCTCAGAGAAGGAAGGGAAAAGAGCCACAGCCCACATCAGGCTGGGCAGGGAGAGGAGCTAGGAGACGCCCTTTCAGGCCAGTTTGCCCTGTTGGGAAAGATTCTGCAAGTCCTTTGCTCCTCTGTCTTTGAGGCCAACTGTGGTGGCTGCTGGCTGCTGCTGTCCAGATGAGAATCTAAGCTTGGTTTTAGGTAAATGTGAGCCACCCCACCCCATCACCCCTTTCCTCTTTCCTTTCTGAAGTCCTGATCAAGGAGTCCTGCCTCTTCCTCCTTCCCCCCTCCTCTTCCTCCTCCCTCCCTCCTCTTTCCCAGCGGGACTTTAGAAGAAAGCTCACAAGTCTACCTGCCAAGCAAGCTGAGTAGGAGAGGAGGACGAGGGTCAGGGTGGCCCAGGAGAGGGAGGCAGCTCTCTGCACCATCTCTGTAGAGGTGAGCCGGGTGCCGGGTTCTGGGTGTGCTCTGTGTGCCGGTGCGTGCGTGTGAACACCCGCCCTGGGGACGTATGAACACAACTGTCCTCTCAGGAGAATTTCTGCTCTGTGTTGGGGGAAACAGGAGGGGGTGGAGCAAAGGCTATAACACCCTTGTTCTCACCACTCCAGAAAGGAAACCAGACTCTGTTGATGGGGGATTGAGGGCAGGGGGGCAGGGGGCGGAACAATGTATGAAGTACGTCCTTGATCTCAAGTTTTGTCCCCACTGAGAACAAAAGAGGAGGGAAGGAGATGAAAGCAAGGTACCTGCTGGTTCTGCCACTTGCAGATGTGGTCCTGGATCTCCACTCCACATATATGTGCGTTGTGTAATCTGAGGGTGCCTGCCCTCACACTGCTTTGCTTACAAGCACGGAGATACAGAGTGGCATTTCAGGGGGACTCTGGAGGAGCAGAGGCCACCTCTGCTGAAGGGCGCTGGTGAAAAGAGGGCATGGGAGTTGGGTCTTGAAGGACGGGCAGGAGTTGGGCAGGCAGAGAGCAGGAAAGAGCCTTGTATATAGAGGTGGCAGGTGAGCAGGGGCCTCAGGCAAGGTGGGGCTCAGAAGCACCCTGTGATTACAACTCAGAGAGAACGTGGCCCAAGACGGATGGGCTGGGGGACCCCAGTGGAGGGCCAGAAAGCTGAACACCTAGAGTATGGGGTTCAAAACCAAGTCAGGAGGCAAAAGGGGGGCTTTTGAAAGATTTTGAGCTTAAGAGTAATTGCCTTTTGTCTAAAACATTTATTGACTACGCACCGCATCTAGGAAAGACATCATCCTGGGCATCTGAGACCCAAAGGCAGAGGCCAGCATTTTAAAAGGACGTTGACCAAACATATGCATATCTCTCCCCAAGTTACGGGAGTCCTGGGGTGCTGCAAACCAGCAATGCTAATCTGCTAACCAAAAACTGGCAGTTCAGTTTCATTTCTGTCACCAAGACCATGTTCTCCAACTACTAAGATCCTTCCTCTTTGTATACAACTTTGTCGTTCCAATGATCGGTAATTATCAATACATCTTGATTGCGTGCCTGATCAATTTCAGACTGAAGAGGTTGGTTGTTGTTGTTGTTGTTGTTGAGCCAGTTCCAACTCACGGATGCTGTATAGGGTTTCTGAGGTGGATTTGAACTGCCAACTTTGTAGTTGTCAGTCCAGTGCTGAGTCTACAGCACCATACCAGAAGTCCAAGGAGGTTGGTAGAATTCTTCCATTTCATCATCACTGGCTTTGGTGGTTTTTGTGTGAATTTGAATAATAGTTATATTAACTGGTCTTCCTTGTGCTATATATATATATATATATATATACTTATTATCTATTTCAGCTCATTAATGGCTAGGATACCAATCTTTATGGAATCCTGGTGTGGTGCTATGGGTTAATGCATTGGACTGCAAGCTCAGTTTGAGTTGCAAGGACAGTGGTTCAAGTTCATCAGTCAGTCCTCAGAAACCCTAGATAGGGTCGCTATGGGTCGGAACCGACTCGAAAGCATTTAACAACAACAACTGATCTGGATATATTCCATTTCATTTTGATGACTTCCAGTTTTCCTAGATTCATAATTTGTACATTCCATGTTCCAATTGTTAATGGATATTTACAGCTGTTTATTTTCATTTTGAGTTGTGTCCCATCAGCAAATGAATGTCCTGAAAGCTTTGTTCCCTTCACATCATTAAGATCAACTCGGCTTTGTGGATTAAGCTCTTCGGCAGTTGTATTATTTTGAGTACCTTCCAGCCTGAATGGCTCATCTTCCGGCACTTTATCAGATCATGTTTCATTGCTTTCCATAAGGTTTTCAGGAGCTAATCCCTCAGAACTGTGCCCTACCTATCCCTTCTTCCTGGTCTGTCTGTCATAGTCTGGAAGTTTTGCTGACACCTGTCCACCATGGGTGAACCTTGTTGTTGTTAAGTGCCGTCGAGTTGGTTCTGACTCATAGCGACCCTCTAGAGGGTTTCCAAGGAGTGGCTGGTGAATTTGAGCCACTGACCTTGCAGTTCCAAAGGACCTTGTAGTCCAGCACATTAACCCACAGCGCCACACCAGCCAGCGCATTAGCCCACAGCGCCACACCAGCCAGCGCATTAGCCCACAGCGTCACACCAGCCAGCGCATTAGCCCACAGTGCCACACCAGGTTGGCTGGTATTTAAAACACCCGTGGTACAGCTTCCAGCATCACAGCAACACTCATGCCAACACAGTATGCCAAACAGTATGCCAGAATGAGCGCTCCTGGTGTGGCACTGTAGGATAAGCACTGGACTGCTAACCACAAGGTCAGTGGTTCCAATCCACCAGCTTCTCCTTAGAAACCCTATGTAGGGTGGCTGTGAGTTCGAACTGACTTGATAACATTTCACAACAGCAGTGTCTATCTACCTGTCTATCTATCTATCTATCTATCTATCTATCTATCTATCTATCTATCTATCATCTATCTATCTATCTATCTATCTACTACCTTCCTACCTATTGCTCTATCTGTATACAGAGAGAAGCCTGGTGTCACTGTAGGCTAAGCACCGGACTGCTAAGCATCAGGTTGGTGGTTACACATAAGAAAGATGAGACTTTATGCTTCCATAACACTGTCCAGTCTTGGGAACCCGAAGGAGCAGTTCTGCTCTACTCCATCGGGTTAGTAATAATTTGTGAAAGAATTCATTATCTTTTAATTCCACAAACTTTCTGAAGTCCCCTTGTTGACGCAGGTTTGACAAGTTATGGGAATGATTAGATTTGCTTGAGAGGAACCGGGGAAGATACACAGAAAAAGTGACATGGAGCCCTGGTGGCACAATGGATAAGTGCTCTGCTGGTAACCAAAAGGTTGGAAGTTCAAACACATCCAATGACTCTCTGGGGGAGACACTTGGCAGTCTGCTCCTGTAAAGACTGTTGTTGTTGTTGTTGTTATGTGTCATTGAATATGTACCAATACTCATATTGTTGTTGTTAGGTGCCGAGTCTGTTCCAACCCAGATGGACCCTGTATAGGGTTTCCAAGGAGCGGCTGGTGAACGTGAACTGCTGACCTTGTGGTTCAAAGCGAATTTTCAGTCCAGTGCATTAACCCACAGTGCCACACGAGGACTCCCCAATACTCATAGCAACTCTGTGGAGGGTTTCTGAGGCTACCACTCTTGACGGGAGTAGAAAGCCTTATCTTTATCCTGTGAGCGGCTGGTACATTCCAACTGCTGACCTTGCAGTTAGCAGCCCAATGAGTAACGCATTATGCCACCAGGGGAACTGTACAGATGACAATGTAGGAAACCCCGTGGGGCAGTTCTACTCGGTCACAGGGGGCCGTTATGACTTGGAATCACTCAACAACACACAACAACAGCATGGATGCTTGTGGAGATGGGAATGGGTGGAACAACCCACATAAACATAAGAATTCCTGTGTGTGTGTGTATGCGTGGCTGCACATGGAGGGCTGGTTGAGTAGCGAGGGACGAACCCTCACCTATCCCAAGGGTTGTGGGAAGAGCCGTAAGCCTCCTGCAAGTCGGGAAGAAGGCTGTGCATTTTAACTAGTCAGCTGACAGGAGGCATTTTTTTCTCCTTTGTCCAAGAGTACAAGTTAGTGGCGGCCCTAATAGTCATGAGCTTGGGGACTGGGTGCAAGGTGGCACTGCTTTAGGAAGTTTAACTTCAGGTAGCATTTGCACAATGGAACATGTACGTCATGTACATCACCTGCTCAACTAAGTCCTCAATGCATAATTCCGGAGCAGTTACCTAGCCCCAGGGTGCACCAAGGGGAGTTAGACAACCTAGTACTCGTCTTCAGGGAGCTCAGCCCAGTGAGGCAGGTGGACAGATGATGTCATTACAATGCAATGTGATGAATGTGTAACTAAGGGGACTCTTCAAAGAACAAGGAGTCTTGGTGGCTCAGTGGCTTAGTGTTCAGCTGCTAACTGAATTGTTGGTGGTTTGAATCCACCAGTTGCTCCTCAGGAGAAAGATGAAGCCGTCTCCGTCTGTAAAGATTTAGAACCTCAGAAACCCTGGGGAGCACTTCTACTCCATCCCACAGGGTCCCCACAAGTTGGAATGAACTTACTGGCATGGGTTTGGTTTCTATAAAGAACCAGAAAAAACATGGAGGAGAATGGTGGACTAGGGAAGTTCAGAGACCATTCCCAAGGGAGGTGGTCTTTGGTCCTAAACCTGGAAAGGTATGTGGTTTAATAGGCACTGGAAAAGGAGACGGGAATAGTATGTGCAAAGCTCTGAGGCATGAACACATGTCCCTTGTTCTGGGGGTAAGACGCTGGACCACTAACCTCAAGGTCGGCAGTTCAAAACCATCAGTCGCTCTTTGGAGAGTCAATACAGGGTCACTGTGAGTTGGAACAGACTCAATGGCACTTAACAACAACAAAGTAGTAGAAATTGAATGAGTGAATGTATACCAGGCATTTGCCACAGTGCCTGACACATAGTAAGTGATCTGTTAACCGTCATGTAGGGTCAACTTCAGTAAGATTTGGAGAAAATGTGGGAAGAAGACAGCACATTTGTCTCTGCTTAAAGATCATTTCTGAAAGCAGTTCATAAAGGTCCTCTAAAAGTGAGCCCTATGAAGGAATGGAAACAAATATTGTTGAATAATGATGCACGGAGGAGATTGTAATCACTGTAGTGAAATGATGGCGTAAAGCTGATGTTCTCCCATGGAAACTATCACTCAGTTCACAATTTAAAAAGAAAAAAAAAAAAAAAGTGAACCCTTTGCTTGATGTCAAAAACACAACTACTGAATTTCTTGAAGTGTGTGTGTTTCACTTTGAAATCTATCAGCAGCACTTCCCAGCTATTTACATACCACACTGGAGTCCTTGTGTGGTGCTGTGAGTTAATGTGCTGGACTGCAAAGTCTGAACTGCAAGATCAGCAGTTCAAGTTCACCAGCTGTTCCTTGGAAACTCTATAAGGGTCTCTATGGGTCGGAAGTGACTCAATGGCACTTAACAACGACAACACACCATATTGGAGACTTGGTGTGGTGCTATAGGATAAGCACTGAACTGCTTATCACATGGTCAGCCGTTCAAACCCAACAACTGCTCCTCAAAACTCAGTACAGGGTTAGTATGAGTCGGAATCATCTCGAAGGCACTTCACAACATCAACTTCCTGGGGAAGGGGCAGTGGTGGCTCAATGGTAGAAGCTTCACCTTCCAAGCATAAAGCCTGGGTTCAACTCCTGGCCAATGCTCTTGATTCACAGCCGCCAACGGAAGCTTGTTTGTTGCTATGACGCTGAGCAGATTTTTAGCAGGGCTTCTAGACTAAGATGAACTAAGAAGGAAGGTTTGATGATCTACTTCTGAAAATCAACCTTTGGATCCCAATGTTCTCATCCATAACCCTTTGATTCCATTGCGCGGGGGGTCTTTTGGGGGGTCAACTCAGCAGTTGCTAAGAACAACTGTCCCAGAAGCATAGGATGGGGTCTAGGCATAATCAGGCTCAGAGCAGATTGGACCAGGTCTTGTGTGCCAAAGGGAACTGGCTAAATCTTACTTAAGGTCGAGCACCATCTAAGGAACGTAGATGTGGACACGGGTATTTTAGAAACATGAGGCTGGGTCTGAGAGGACAGGTGTAGGTCTGAGGGTAATTCCCCCAAGAAGCTTGGCAGCAATCCCACCAAAGACCACAAGGAATAGAAATGATGAGCTGGAACAGAACACGAGGTGTTTAGGAGGCCACATTGAAGGAACCTCC